GTAAATTATTAATGATTTTCTTTAGAAATTTGTATAGAATAATTAAAATAAAAAAAAGAATTTGAGAGGCATCACGTGCCCTTTTAGATGGAAAAGGAAAATAGTTTTTATTTATTTGTCTATGATTGGTTGTTGATGTGATTGCTTTGAGAATGAAACATATTGAATGATGACTTCATAAATTGGGAATACACGCAAATGCTACAACGCCTTGTCAGTCATTGCCTTGAAACGAGTAGATTGCCATGGTTGTATGGAAGTAATGCATAGACAACCAACTGATTGAGCAGATTACAAGGAATTGAACGCATATATTTATTTACACGATTTTTATTCCAATTATACCATGACTCATTTACTATTTCAACTATATATACTGGACAAAGACCCCATGATTAACCACAAATATAATATTCATGCACATACACGGTAGTAGGCATAAACAAAGCTCCGGAAAGTGATTTTTGATTTTCGCCGTTCAACGTTCGTTGATAAGGTAGGATACTTATGTGTAAGTGTTTCTTGTCCTTACAATACTTTAATTATGTTTACATGATTTATCTCACGAAATGATAATTGACCTACGAGTCATGATGAAATGAAATGAAATGTGAGATCTCCTTCGGGTTTTTCAAAATGCTAGAGTTTTCGATTGATCTCCGATTGCTCTTGATGAAATGATGGTATGAAATGTTATAAATTTATGNATTACTCTTGATGAAATGATGGTATGGAATGTTATAAATATATGTTTAAACAATTATTGTATTGTTTTGGACGCACGTATCCTACTAAGTTTTAAATTATTCATTCCATCAAATTTCAATATTTTCAGATTAGGTCGGTCAACGTGGATGGTGGCAGTGCGGTGTGCGGGTTGCCAAGTAATAAATTTTCAAGGAAAGACATTTGATAATAGATTATATTACGATATTTTGTGTTCTTTAATTCCGTTAAATATTTAGATTTCTTGACATTATGCTTAAATTGGTGTTTGAATGTTTTAAATAAATTAAGGGTTTCAAATTTTTACTTAAATAATTCCGCACTATGAAATGATATTGATGACACCTCGGAATTTAAGTCAATGAAATTTGGGGCGTTACAGACCATGTATACTTTAATTGTTTCTTTCGAACACATAAACATTTTTCAATGATCAATTTTGAACATCAATTTCTCATTCACCTTAACATTATTTTCGACAAGTAAATATATAATTTCGATGTCCACATGGAGAAAAATACGAATCAACTTTGATCTTTCCAAATGAATAAATGGACCCCCACTCAAAATTATGCCAAAACCAGCCCCGTGTTGCAATTTCTCCAACATGACTGGTTGCAATGGTGGTTGGTCTGGTGATGACAGTGACGAGTAGTGTTGGGAGGGTTAGGGTGAGAATCTGATTTGGGTTATTTGGGCAATGTTTCGTTGAATTATACGACATTTCATTCAAACCAACCCAATTCCATAACATTAATATGTTGGAACTTTATTGATACTTAAACTTTATGAACTTGTCAAGATTTTCATGTCAA